CTGAAGCCGCACCAATACCACGCACGTAATAGTATTTTATTTTGAAGCATGTTTAAATACGATTAAATTAAAATTATTAAATCAAAACAATCATAATTATAAACAATTAATGTCCCTCCTTCAGCAGGCCACGATATTATTATTAAATAATGGCCGATCCGCTGTCAAAAGGTTAGGGAGCACTGCTTGTGGACATATTATTTTATTTTTGGGTATTTGTGGACATATCATGACGGGTCTGTCTCCAGTTAATACAAATCCACTTGTAGATTAATGTTGACGCAGTCACACTTTGAAACACAGAAATAATTATGTGCTCTGAATTTGTCTGCATTATTAAAATATAGTTTCGTCTATGCACTCAACTAATATGCAATATTTTGTTATATTCTTTAACACCTAAAATGTATGATCTAAAAAAACCGTATAAAGGTATTATGGATGTTACTTTACACCAATGAATCAATTTTATTTCTTTAGTTTAACATTACCTTGGGAAATTTACGTATACTGTAAGATTTATACTATTCCTGAAAATTATTTTAAAGTTATTATTTTACAGCAATTGCAAAGAAAAAAAAAACAGAGTGGTGTTTATTGCACATGTTTCACCGTGAGCCAAAAAAGAAACACTCTGAATAGCCTTTGAACTAAACATCGTATTTTCACGCACTAAAACTCGATTTTAATAGTTTAGAGGCCTAACGTTAATTATGCTAATTAATTTGCGTATGTGATAATTTTAGATACGAAATCAAATACAACGAATTCCATAGCTTCAATCTAGAAAGTATGGTCGGTCAGGAGAGAGGTCGAAAATTAGGATGAATGAAAATTTGATTGATTTTTTGCGTATTTTACCAAATCTCGAACAAAAATTTTAAATTGGAAAGCTTTTTTATACAAACTAGTTTTAAGACAATTACTCAAAATCATTCGAACTATATATTCATAAATTTGGAGTTTCACTAAAAGTAGATCGATTGGGATTCCTTCCATAAAAAAAAAACAATTGAGAACCATTGGTAGATTTTATTAATTATTTATTTGTGTAATTTAGATTCATATTAGTAGGTCGATTGTGCAATATTAAACAGCTGAAAACAATAAAGAGCCATTGTCTTACTTAGTTAATTATTTATTTCATTTAGATTAAAAGTATTTTATCGAATGTGCAGGTTTCGGTGGCCAAGAACAACTCGAACCGATTGTTTTATTAAATTATATTTTATTATTTATTTATGTAATTTAGATTAATATTAGTAGGTCGATTGCGTAGAGTTCCGTAGCCGAAAACAATTGGAAACCGCTCTCTTACGTAATTAATTATTTATTTATGTAATTTAGATTAATATTAGTAGGTTGATTGTGTAGTGTTTCATAGTCTAGAACAGGGGTCCCCAACCTTTTCGTTCCAAAGAGCAAATACCAGAATATCGGTCGAATGGCGGGCACCATTTATTTTTTCAAGATAAATTTATAGTTGATAGACATAGGTAATAATACACACTACATGTAATGCACAAAAATTTAATTGAAAAAATTAATTTAACATATGAATATAATTAGTATTAATATTCTTGTGTAAAATAAATGATTACTAAATTGCTTTCAAAACATGCGAAGTTTAAAAATTATTTATAAAATACAGTCAATGTGGTCTTTGGCATGGCATTTCACTGGCCAGCGCTTCATAATTGAGAGAATATGATGAAATTCCTGCTCGCAAGCTGTCGTCAAGGTGTTCATCTGTAAGTCCGGATCTATATTTTGACTTTATGATATTCATAGTCAAAAACAATAATTCACACAAGTATGTGGAACCAAGAAACGACTTTATTTTATGTGCTGCTCTTTTTAAAAATGGAATTTATTCCTTCAACTATATTCCAGAATTTCTCATCTGATATAATAGTTTTGAGGATAATGTCATTCTGAAGAGTCACAATTTCTATCTCCACTTCGTCTCGCTTCACTTGAAGAAATTCTGAAATGTATGTTGCTATTACGGTTACGTTTATTTGGTTTTTAAAAGAATTAACAAAAATGTTATCAAAGGCTCGATGATATTAAATTGTTGAAAGTGCTTTTCATATTGATCTTTAAGCAATTGGAGGTTGATGACAAATGCTGATAAGTCAATTTCACTGTTACCTATCATTTTTTTTCCATGCTTGGAAGATGCACAAGAGGCTTCATTTTTCAAATGTGATGTCACAAAACTATCCTAGCTCTGAACGAGTTTATAGCCTCTATAATTTTTGCTATATGTTTGTCCTTTCCCTGCAGCTCCAAGTTTAAATTATCTAGTTTTTCCATTATGTCCGTTATGAAAGACAAGTCTGCTAGCCAAAGAGGATCTCTTAGTTCTAAAAATAAAATGTTTGATTTTCGGGCTGCGAGATAATTTTTTTTATTTCTTCAATTAAATGTAGAAATCTATCAAGTACTTTGTCTTTACTGAGCCAGTGTACTTCAGTATGTATTTCATAGCATAAAATTTGCATGGCATTTAATGGGAAAATGGAACACTAAAATATTTTATAGTTGGGCATAAGCAGCGGGCGCACCTAGACCGATCGACGGGCGCCATGGTGCCAGCGGGCATAGGGTTGGGAACCCCTGGTCTAGAATAATCAAAAACCTCTGACAAACTTAATTAATTATTTATTTATGTAATTTAGATCTTATACGAACTTTTAATATCTCGCTAAATTTAAAACTTCATTGGGGTCATAAGAAACAGTTTGAAATACAATCCAAATAATATATATTTCAGAGAAATAAGCGAAAGGATTTTCGAACACGAAAATAAAAATTCAATTTAAACGATATGTACGAGACAAACTAAAAATCAGCTCTCTTTATCTGAACCAACAACCGATTCAATAACTTTGTCCCATCTCCGTTTCTAAGAATAGTTTAATAAAAATCACACTTTCAGTGGCTGTCGTCCAATTCTTTGAATAAGCGAATTTCATCTACTTCGAACACATCTGTTCAATCTTTTGGACTGAAGCCATCACAGAAACTCAAAAATATTTTAGATATTTCTATTTACTTCTTTTTCCGTTCAATAGCAGAATCTACCTTTTAGAATTGGCTTTATTATTTCGAAGAAATTCTGAGAAATTATCTCTTAAAGTTTATTTCTTTCGGCGAAAACTTTATTTTCTGTTGCCATTCGGTAAAGACCAAGAGGAAAAATTATATTTAATTGCGAAAAACTGTTCTGAATATCAGAATTTGATTTCGTATATATATATTTTTTTGTCAAACATCTAAGATTGTTTGAATAAAATTAAATGCGTGATTAAAAAAGAAAAAAATCATATTTTGTTAAGATAAGTAGGTGGGTACTTTATTCACGTCGCACTAGATCTGCACAATGGGCTATTGGCGGCGGTCAGTTGAACATCCCTGAGAATGATCCGAAGACATGCCATCACAATTGTGACCCTTTGAAGAGGGGATGGCTCCCCTGCTTTGGTAGCACGGCGACCTGCGCGCGAAGTCGAGTAATTTACGGTAGAACAGTTTAACAAGGACCGATACCACGCATTCTCGATTCCTACACTGGCTGATCAAAGTGGTCACTCACTTACTAACTGTAGTCAGCTATGCTTGACTTTGGTGTTCTACTGGGAACCGTGTGTTTACAATCAGTCTACTGTGAATTTATTATTTATTTATTTTTTTTGTAAATTGGTAAAAAACTCCATGTGAAATTTTATTTAAAACTATTTGTTTCCCAGATATAGCTACGAAAAGGAATCAAATAGTCCTTTTTCTTTCTTTTTTTTTATAACAAAATGTTTTTTTGCGGTACTTTCTCTTCGATCCTCCTCATTGATCCAGAGAATTTATTAACCCAAATAATTGATATAAACTGAGCACTTGATACTTTGTCTTGAAAGGAATGGTTAACAGAATTTATTAAACTGTTATGCATTGAACAGAGCACTTTCCTCCCAAAGAGACGATCAAATTAGTACATCAATTCCTACACTGATAAATTTACCTTTACTAATGCGAGTTTATCTTGATCCTTGATCCAGAAGTCCCAAGATCCAAAAGTGTCTTGTCCTGAATTGTGTTCCAAATTACGTGGTGACAGATTTAGATATTAATGCAGTCACAGCCCTTATAGGAATCGGCTGTAAACGGTCTTAAGATTTATTTTACACACACACTTAAATATAAGTGGAGTGTATGATATCATAAAGAGGAGTGTATGATATAGTCATACACTCCTCTCTATGATCTTTGACTTATCAAATCTTTTTAGACGTTAGACTTATCAAATATGGTTAATTTGATAAGTCAACCTTCAGTGAATTCATGGAATCTAATAAATTAATTAAACCAAGATCTTTCATCAGAACGACGTGATTGACGCATGTCCTTTTGGGATAAATAAAGAATCAGCATCATGGAACACCTGACATAATCATTTAATCGCACATCATTCGTTTTGTTATTTTTCCCAAATATTATATTAACTTCTAAGGGATCAAGGTTTGACTGTGCAGGGCAAAATTGATACAAAAATAAAAAAAATATATCATTTGCTGGTTTGTAACAATTCAAGCTCCATTGAGAATCTAAAAAAAGGATAAAGGGTACTAGACAGATGTAAAGTAACAACTGAGTATTATTTTTGAGAAATTTTTCTAATTAGTTTTTGTTATTTCATAATCATGTTTTCTTATGGAATTTAAAACATAAATGTTAATTACGAACATCGTTATACATACTTCTTTTATTCTATAAAACACTGAAAAAGCATAAAATTTTAAAATGTAATAGAGTTCCTAAAAATGTAGTGAAAGCAAGAGTTCCTAAAAATATAGTAAAAGCAAGAATTCCTAAAAATATAGTAAAAATATTTTCGTTTGTAAGTTTTGAAATGTTTAAAAAAAATTCGTGAATTTTCGTATAAAATATTAAAATGACCATCATGACAACTTTACTAATTCAGACTTCTTTTTCACTTGCAGGTATTATGATTGTAGTTACAGCCATTGGAAACATGCTAGTGTGTCTTTCAGTTTGTCTGGTGCGCAAGCTGCGACGAGCTTCGAATTTTTTACTAGTGTCCTTAGCAGTGTCCGACTTGTGTGTGGCTCTACTAGTGATGCCCATAGCGCTGCATTATGAGCTAGTGGGTGACTGGAAGCTGGGTGCTACAATATGCAACATGTGGGTTGCTTTTGATATCACCTGCTGTACGGCGTCCATCCTCAACCTGTGTATGATTTCCGTTGACCGCTACCTCGCCATCACTAAACCTCTTACATACGGAGTACGTCGCCGTTCTAGACGAACATACCTTAGCATAGGACTCACCTGGATCATGTCCACTTTGGTGAGTGTCCCACCTCTTCTTGTTCTGGGCAACGAGCACGGCACAGAAATGAGCCCAACTTGTGATGTGAGTCAAAATTTTGGCTACCAACTTTACGCCACTCTTAGTTCTTTTTATATACCCATGCTAGTCATGGTTTTTATGTATTGTAAGATATACCTGGCCGCCAAAAGGGTGGTCGAGTCAGATCGAAAAGGACGGCAGGCCGCCCAAAGGTACTTATCAAACAGCAGCAGTACTGGACCGTACTCTTCAGTTTGGGATTCCAAGCCAGAAAAACTAAACGTTTTTGTGCAGCTGAAAACCCAAGAGCTAAACAATCATCGTCGCCATTCTTCTGTGGACGTTGGCGACGGTAATAGTACGAAAATGTGCACACTAGAGGCTTACAAAGTTGGCGACAGAGCAGTGACTGCTGTTTGCAAACCGAAAATATCTGTTATTGTGAAAGATCGCAAAGCGTCCATTACTTTAGGGATTATAATGACTGCATTTGTTGTTTGTTGGCTTCCTTTCTTCGTCGTTGCACTCTTACGATCGTTGTTCACTAATCTTTGGGTCCCCCACTCAGTTCGTAGCCTTGTGCTGTGGCTTGGTTACGCGAATTCTATGCTCAACCCAATAATATACGTAACATTTCACCAAGATTTTAGAAAGTCTTTCAAGGAAATGTTGTGTTTCAGATGCCATCTAGTGAATGAAACTTTCCGCGAAGAAGCTTACAGAGACCAATATGGTGAGACCCCTCTGTGCTCTGGACCACCCCAGACAACATGGCCAAATGCCAGTTGCAAATCTTTCATTTCTACAGCACGCCGCACATCAATATGCAGTTCATCTCGCAAGCTCGATTGTTGTGGAACCAATAATAAACAAATACAGAATACATTCATGTAAAAAAAAAGTATTTTGTGTCAAAATGTGTGCTATTTTACGAATTTCCCAGATTCCCTTCTTGGAATTGGAAGCAAAATTGTGATAAATTTTATCCAACTGTGTAAAAATGAAAAAATAAAAAAAATCTGTACTATTTCTATAAGTAAGTCTGACTGTTATTATTTTTATGAATCATTCAAATTGCCTTGAAGTTAAACAGAGTATCTAAAAGTTTAAAATATTATTGAAATGAGGAGCTTCGAGCAATGTACTGAAAAGAGCGGGGTTTATACAAATGTCATTTTCTTACAGTAAATTGTTCCTTAAAGTTTTCAGCCTGGTAATTATCATGTTACCAAAATTTCTGATAAATGGTTTTCGTAGTTTTCCTCCCCATTTATCACAGCAATGGCTGGTCGATACGAATTCTGCACCCAGTACTCACCGTCCACAGTGCAGACGCAAATATCCTCAGTGGTAGACGGATCATGGGTTCCGGATCATGGGGATCAGAGTCCTCTTGCCGTCAGGCTAACCAAGGGAGGTTTCCTTCCACGTAACGCATATGCGAGTTAGTTCCATCAAAAGTCCTCCACGAGGGATATTTCTCCCAATACTTGATCCAGGAGTTCCCTTGTTTTCTGGATTGAGTTCAAAATTACAAGGCTAAGCAGTTGAACATTGATAGTTGCAAACCCAAAATTAGGATGGCTGTTCATCGACGGTTATAAATAAAAATGGTCTTCGTGAATTGTGGTGGCTCACCGGATGGAGCGTTCGCCTTCCTATGAAGTAAATTGGGTTCGAATCCTAACAATGGCTGGAATGATACAAATTTCGAATCCGGCTCACACCAACCACAGTGCTGACGTAAAATACCATCCGTGGTAGACGGATTATGGGAAAGAATAACTTTTCCGTCAGGCTAACCGAGGGAGGTTTTCATGGATTTCCCTTACATGCAACTCAAATGCGGGTTAGTTCTATCAAAAAGTCCTCCACGAAGACTAATTTATCTAAATGTAATCTTTCTAGCTTAAAATACTGAATTTCGTTATTCAGAGTACACTAATTATACCATATTTTTTTCCTCACTTACGATCATATCATCAGTGCATGCTGAGTGTCGACATTTGTCATTGAAAATGATAAATACTGATATCTAACAACTATGTGAGTGATGATATTCGTAAGAACTTATGTGGACATTCAGTATCGAATGAACGTCGATATGTAATGCAAGTTAAGAAAAAAATAGTATCCTTAAGGAGAGAACCTGTTTGCATGCCAAATGGATGCTAAGCTCCAAGCGCGAACGTATATCAACATCGTCAACTCTTGAAATGACGCTGCACAACCTATTTTTTTCGATCTTAAATCAAGTTAGATGAGGAAACTAAATCTTATTGAAAAAAAAATTGTTTCGTTAATAAGAATTGATAAAAATGATGTCTAAAAATATAACTAATATACGTCTTTCGATTCGCATTTAAAGAAACTGATGAAATAATAATAAATATTGTTTCTCACAAATGATTTTTTTTTCCAGCGAAACAAAGTAAAAAAAATTCTATACCTCTTATTTGATTTGTTAAGAGCGTGTCTGCATAAGACGTGCCATTTTTAGCGGTCCAATCAAATTCAATGCTCTTGCAACGTTATATAGCTATTTCTTTTTCAAAAACGGAAGTTCTCCCTATTTATGGAAAGAATTCCAGCAAGACTATGAAATTATAACCCTTTATAAATAACTCTATGATAAATATGGTATACAAATTAAACTTCTGTCCGACCAGATTAAATTTTAAAAGCTTTTATATTGTTTTGATCGCATATTTATATAATTTTATAATGAAATAAAACGGAACTATATGCTGTCGCGGATGATTACATAAATCCTATGCCGCAATGGGGTCTTTTCTTAACTTGCAACGGAGTGTAATTTTAAAAATTTACATTAACATATTATGGAGTACAAGAATCATACAAGCGATTAAATGTCAAAGTGACCGGATATATTCTGCTGTTGGTACAAAAATGGCATCACTACTTTTGAAAAGAGAGATGGTACGATGGCATTGACGCGATCTTGAAAATTCGCCTTTAAACAAGTTAATTTATTTTTTATTTCTATTTAATAATCTATTATGGATTTTATTACAGTCTCAAGATATATAACTAAATTAATTTTCGAATGTGTTTCTCAGCTTAATATTGAAGTGAAAAATTTATTTAATTTAAACAAATAGCTGTTCAATACAAGACAATAATGTAATTTACTGAATATTAAGAAGGCACTGATGGCAATAAAAATAGTAACAGTAATACTAGGGTAAAGTTTTTATATGACCTAGTAAGTAATAAATGTAAATACAAAGAGTGTGTATAGTATTTTGTTTTTCTTTTCTGTCACAAATGTTACAATGTATATTGAATATGACTAAATAAATATTTCTTTAAATTGTTCAAATTGCTCGAAATAAAAAGCCATTTTATTAAGCGTTAGCCATTTTTTTTCTTTTTTTTTTTTAAATTTAACGATAGATGATTCAATTTTCACATATTTTAAGTATATTTACATTTGACACAATTTTGTGATAATTTCCATTAGAGTCAAAAGTAATGGAAATAAAACTCAATACTGGTATTAACTAAACATTTACAAGAATTAGAGCCCCTGACAAGAATGAAATAAATCCGCAGCACACATGAAAACGAAATCTGTATCCAAAGTTAAGTAAATGCCACCCGATACGTATCGTCTCCCTTCGCACTCGTAGTGATGTCATTTTCAACCAATAGCGTGATCCGGCAAGTTTGAAATTTAATTGCTCATGGAATCATCTTTTCAGATAGACATTATCTCCATACACAGTTATTATATGTACTCAATCCTGAAGGGCGGATTTCAATTTTTGACATTTTTTAAAGCAAAACCAAATAATTATAGTAATTTAGTTCGAACAGACAGTGAAACTTTCTTAATACGCAGGGCTGATCTGTGATGGCTGTTCTTAGCATATATGTTCGAATAATTTTTTTAAACGAATTAATAACTATGTTATTAATTCGTTATTATGAATTAATAACAAGTCGTAACCTAAATAGGGAGGGGATGCTGAATGATGATTGCCAGCAATATACTATCAGAAATTTTTTTTAATTATTATTTTTATTATTACCACTGAACTAATGGACTAAATTTTATTAATTTTAATCCCTTATTTCATGTACTCTGCTCGAATAATGATGGATTAACGTTCGGAAGAATTTTCATTTTCTACAATTGTTCTTCTTTACTTCTATGTTAATTTGCAATTGCGATGTGACTCTTTCTTTTGCACTTCATTCCTTTGCTAAAAAATTAACATATGTAGATTAATTACTGCCTATTCGAAACTACTTGCAACCATTACTCTATTCATATATAAATGAATGAATGTCCGAAAGAGTGTCCCTTATACACTCATAAACCATCCTACCAAAAGCGATGAAACTTGCCATACAGGCGGTAGTTTGAAGCACGAGGAAGGTCACTGTCGACATAGGAACATTCTACGACAAACCGTTCAAGCACGATGAGCAAAAAACGAAACGGAATTTTTTGATTGTTTAGGCGTTAGCCATTTTCGTGTTTAAATTTAACAGCAGATGATTCAATTTTCACAGATTTTTAAGATAACATCAGTGATAATTTCAAGCTTACAGCCCTATTTGATCAAAAAATAGTTTATTGCGGATATTTAAATATTTAATTATTTTATATTCACTATGACGTATGAATTTAATGAACAACATTACGTGGCAGCACGCGTGGTCAACTTCACCAAATTTATACTTTTAGAGTAGAGCCCCTGAATTAGAATGATTAATACAAATAGGGGGGACTTATTTAAATTATATCAAGAAACGTGTTTCTTAAAAAATTAATTCTCTAAAATCAGCAGTAATTGAGTAGAAAAAAATATTTATGCATTTAAAGACAGATATTAATTGGAATGTGGTGGAACTTATTCGCTTAGGAGAAACGTAAAAAAATTGCCATATTATTATTGCCGCTAAGGATGCTTAATTAATTTAGTTAATGCATGCATGTTGAATTAAAAGAAATAAGGTTTGTTCTACAAAGCAAAAGTAATGGAGTAAAGGTATTTATTTGTCTAGAAGATTTGTAGGAAATCGTCATACTATCAATGATGCTTAATTAATGTTGGTAATATCCATTAATTGAAATTTAAAAAACATAATTTATGTACTAAAAAGCGAAAATAATGAAAAAAAAGATGCTTATTCGTTTCACAGAACTGTAAAAAATCGTCATATTGATGACACTAATGCTTAATTAATACTGATAGAAAATATTATATTGATTTATTTGGTGATTATTAAAACTGCACCAATACTCAGCAGTTTTAATACCATACTTTGGAAATAAACTAAAAGAGTTATTTCTTTATTATAACATCAGCATAATACTACCCTATTGCGCTAGATTTTACGATAAACTTATTTATATTGGTGTCTAAACTTAATAACCATTTTACAACTATCAGTTTTTGAGAAAATTGAATTAATGTACTTTTATAAATTATCGTTATAGACATTCGTTAAATGATTAAGAGCTTAACACCCCGATGCATCGTGCACAATACCCCGATGTATCACACGACACGATGTATCGTGCACAATCACCCGATGTATACGCAAATTTCATTTAATATTGGTTACCTTTTGCGTAGCCGGGCGTAAGCAAAACGTTTTCAAAAAATGCATACCCCGACAACTTTATTTTATTTTATCTTTTTAAATGTAGGAAAATTAAATAGAGAGAAAAAATAAATAACATAAAAAAATTAAATTAAATAAAAAGAAATGAACGAAATCAGTTGAATAGTTCCTGAGAAATCGAGTTTCAATTATACAAATTTTTTAAAATTCAATTTCTCATCAAATTTTGCATTTTGTCATGTAAAACTAGAAACTTTAAAATAACGCCAAAAATTGTATACCTTACAATTCAAAATTTTTTAGCTATTTTTAAGTAAAATAATTAAAAATACTAAATATTTACTAAGATTTATTTTTTTGCGTGGAATTATTTTTGAATATACGAATTTTATAATTGTGGGAAAAAAATTTTCAATTCCCTTCAAAATTTCTCGA